GATATATTTTTTTGGTAATTGGGAATATTAAAATTATTATATCTATATATATATACAATACAAAGTCTGATATGATTTTAATTGGAGAAAAATTTGTTCAACAAAAATTATTAATGTGATTTTATTTATTTATTCATAATGTAATCGAATACAAAATCTCTAAACAAAGAATGAAATTTTAATATGTGCTCAGGTATATACACGTGCAAAATAAGGTAATAATAATTGGTATAATGATGGTAGAGACATCACACCTTAATAAGGTTACGGACATGAAATTATGCTAATTCAACACATTAATAATAATTCATATATACACACATACACATAGTCAATAAGTATAACTTTGATCACATTTGAAGATATTTATGGTCTATGCTTGAATAATTTATACAATTTTTTATTTGTTCTCAAACCTGGACAATGTATTTGTATATAAAAACAATAAAAATTTGGAATCACACAAAGGCTTGCAAAATTTGGGGGGGGGGGGCGCAAAAAGGTAAATAAAAATAAAAGAATAAAAGAAAATTGAAAGGAACTATTTGAGTTTGAGTAGGGAAGAAAAAGAGACAACTGAATAGTCACTTCATGCATTGGAAAATGACATTTTAAGAATTGGATGAATATTTTTTATTGTCCCATCAAAATGTGGTACCGAACCCTACTGACGGAAGCAAACACTTGGAAGTTTAAATAAAAAATAAAAAATAAAAATGAAACTCCCCCTTTACAAGGTTCGAATAATAAACCAAAAGAGCCACATAGCATGTCATGCATCCCATTCAACCAGGCGGTCATCAGGATCGCCGTGTGAATAGGGATCCAGACTTGCTCTTAAAGTGGATGAAAACCAGGCGGATGTTTCACCGCTTCCGTGCGTTCCACGTCGGACGCCACGTGGTCCCGGGTTCGAGGCGTGTCCTGGAGCAGATCCAGTTGGACGCCAACTCATGGACACCTCATTGGCCCAATCCGTGGTTGCCAGCTGGCGACGCCAGCGTCCCATTGGCTGTGAAGGCTTCGTATATCGAATAGCGCGTCTTTGCTGGGGAGGAACATTCCAATGCTTGCTTTAAGGTATACTCCACCTTTAAAGGAACAAAAAGATAAAATCTTTAGGAATCGGAAGAGGTTAAAGTGATGGGTGTGATAAAGTAGCTTTATTTCTTTTCTACTGTAGACATTTTTATTTTTTATTTTTTATGTTTTGAATTCTTGTCTTTGTGAATGTGTGTTTTCTAAGCTCAATGTTTTTGCTTTTGTTTTTATTGGTAAACTTTTTCATTGATATATTTTAATTTGTATTGATATTGTGAAACAAGTAAAGGGAATGATATTTTGACAATTTGAAATCGTTTTTATTACTAACTGTGGATATGAATTCTTTCATTTAAAAATTATGTGTTATTTTATTTTCTTTCTATTTTTCTTTTTATATTTTCAATATGTTATGAGTACAATTCATGCTCTTATAACAATAGTATCCTAAATCTGTTCTAGATCAATGGACTTTTAATTGTTGAAAACCAATGAAGACTTAATCAAATTGGGCAACTGAATTTCAAGGGCAGAATATTTAATGCGTATAAATTGTAGTATTTTCATAACCATTATCATCATCAGCTAAGAAATTACACTTGCTACTTTTTTTTTTTTTGCAATGACTTTATTATTGATGCAAATTTCGAGAGTCAATCTATTTTCTTCATACTAACTATTACAAGTTATAGAACGTTAACATCAAGCAATCATTTAAAATAAATAGCTAATTATAATGAGTAATAACTTCTGTAAAAGCTTGATATGTCCTAAATAGAAATTTTATTTATTTATTGAAAATTTTCAATTAAATTCTAAGTTGTAAAATAAAAATGTAACATGCCATGGTGATTGTGAGTTGTTGATATCAAAATTCACATTATTCTTCTAAAAAGTAAAAATGATACTATTGCCCCTATTAATGAACACACAATCTACAATCATATGAATTTTTGTATTTTTGAATGTTTGTTTGTTTTGTTTATACCAGATATCTGTATACATATAAATATATATATATATATATATATTGAAGGAAACAAAGCATTTTAACTGTGTACTCGAAGGTTTGAATATGTAATAAGCACAATTTTAGGACTTGGTGCACAGAATTAGGGTTTTAAACGTGAGTTTTGAACGTCGAATCGCAGCAGCGGCAGCAGTAGTTGCGAAAGCTGGCAAGACAGAGCACGAGCACGAGCGATGTTGGATGAGAAGGGGAGACGGAGACCGAGACTCAAGTGGAGACCGAGACCAAGACCAAGACCAAGAGGTTGGTTTTACCTCGATTGGCGTGGCTGCATGTCAACTCTGTCATTCCCACGGAAGCGCCGGAGCTGGCGAGCGCATGAGGGGAAATTGGTGCTCCTCCCTCCCTCCTCTCCTGGCTGGCTGCGAGGTAGTGCCACATACTTAATTGGGGCGCCATCCGACTTGGACACATTCTCCTCGAACGTGCCCCACTAGGCGATGTGGGCGACGCCTGACGGCTCAGATTCCGGAGGAGTGGGAAAGCAAGGGATCGGTATGTGTGCCAGAACTCGGAATCAGTCTTGGCTTGCTGCAACACGGCTCCCATTTCCTGATCACTGTCATGCGAGCATCTCTGTTGCGGAGACCAGAACTCGGAGCAGGTTTCGGGTTTTTGGTCACCCCCCCCCCCCAAACACAGACTGAGCCTGGCTGGGAGATTGTCCCGCGCGGCGATCGAAAATGGTGCCTCACTTTCAGCCCCCATGGAATTTGTCCTCGCGGTTCCTCAGGTTGAGCCAGAATCTGTGTTAGAATCTGTGCTGATCCCACTTCGTAACTGAACTGCCTCCCCCCCCCCACGCTTGGGAGTCGTGATGGCGTCCTTTCGAGGCTTCTTTTGAGCTGCTAAATTAAGCTCTTTCATGTAGCAGCTCAGCATTGCATTGTTCGACTTTGTTGCTGTGGACGATGAAGATGCCACGCTTTGCATTGTTTTATCCACGCGTCTGATCTCTGGGTCCTCATATGATGTTGCCGAATGGATGCAACACCACCGGAGGCTTTGCAACATATTGATCTCACTCATTCACTTGATAGTTTTAGATCGACTTTGAGCTCGCACAACCCGCAAAAATTGGCTGTTGCGCATGGAGCGGTGAATTGCCAAAATACAAAAGCAAACCACGTTTATAAACTACTGCCTCTAATCAAACACCTGTAGTGTACTTCGATAAATCATTTGTATATTCAACCTGGAACATCGAAGTGGATGTGTAATTTTTTCATATATGAAGAAGATCTGAAAGAATGTTATTAGACCGAAGTTTTATCAGCCCCATTCTTATTATGCTATATTTTATTTTATTTTATTTTAATTTTTCTCTTTCAGGCAGTTATTCCTGCTTACAAATGTCGTTATTCCTGAAGTACTTATTCGTGGAATACACACCCACTTATACATAAAAAAAAACTAACTTTTTTGAACAAATTTACATCTACCACATTAGAAAAATAATATAACTAATTCGACAAGTATCTACGAAGTTAATGTTTTGTTTTCTGCTTTTTGTTTCTTTCTGGTTTTGTTTTCCAGAGAAGATTGTGTCTGTTCACAGACCTCTAGTCTGTTCAAATGACAGTGAGATGTGCCCTTTTCGCAAGGTACTCTTCCACAACTATTATTGGCGCTTCATGAGAAGGAGCTTTCAGATTGTATGACATTGATAATTCTATGGAGGCTTGTCCAGTGTGCATCATAATGTCTAAAAGAGAAGCACAGGATCACTGGTTTGAAACCTGCATCCACTAGACTTTACGCACAACACAGTCTCAGTAAAAGCATCAATGAGATGTATGATAGAACAATGATGACACTGAAAGTAATTAGGAACAGACAAGAGCAAGAAATACAGTGCACATGAAGCAGCGCCTATGAACTGAAAATACACGTTGATAAGTAAACTAGGTCTGATATATCCGATACCCAAATGCCAGTGATACAATGATGCTGATATTTATCTCTGAACGTCATGTAGAGGTGGGTCATTCTCACCGCTGGCTAAATCTTCTTGTATCCATCTTCACATAGAATACCTACATCGCTAAGGCGATGACGTGAAACAAATTTATTTGATTCTGCTTACATTATGAGCTGCGTTTAAACGAGGGAATATGATCACGTTGTTGTATTTGAGCCTCTTGTTGTGGAGGTGATGCCTGGACTTGGGTGTTTACACGAGGGTACATGAAGGTTCCATGAATTAGCACCTGCAGCGGCGTTGATGGGAGGATATTTGCATGGAATTGTGGTGATTGAGCAGGCAATGACACTCACGCGCTATATTAATTTTTTACCAATGCTAGTGTTGGATATCACTGCCTTCATAAAATCCTGTCCTCTAGCATCAACATAGTACACAATTTTGCAACCCAAGGAAATGATTCATGCTGCCGCTACAACCCAGATTATCAAGGCATAGAAAAGATGCATGATCGAAATCATGTCGAAGTGCAGTATTGGCTGCACCTCAATGGCGACGACCTAAAATTGGCAGGACAGAGAGCAATGCACCGGTAGAGGAAATTTCTCACTCATGCTACTTGCATTGTACATCAATGAAGTGGTGAGATCAGCCATACTCACGGACTGATTTAACACCTTGTTGTAGATGTTGACCACTACATTACAAATCCCAGGAGCCGGAGAAATTGATCGTTGTTTACATTTTTAGATTCGGTCCACATTTCCCTTGAATCTGCTTTTGACGAACCTACACCCCCAGTTTCTTCAATAATTTGCGAAGCGGGTTCTTGACACAAAGATTGACCACTCAAAAAAGAGGCTGAAGCTCAAACTACTCAAAAATGTTTTGACGAATTGAGGAATGTTTCGGTACATGCAGCTCGCCCAAGGGTGGTACTAGTGCGGGGCAACTGGAATTGAGAACTCATCCTGATTGATTTAAGCCTCCATGGGCTATCTCACAGCTTGCTGTGTCTTCCTCCTCCTCCTCCTCCTCCTCCTCAACGTCATCGCATCCCGTAAAGGGATGTCGGCGGCCATGATCAAGCAAAGAGTAGCTCTTCTCTTGAGTTGGGGATGCACTGATCATTCGGTGTACATGAATTGTAGCCTCCTCACCGTTAACGCATTACATTCCACCGAGAGTCCCAATCACTTCGTGGCGATTCACATCGCAACCAAGTTATTCTACATGAAGATCGAAGAGGTTCAAGTTTCCAACCAAGGGTAGTCCGAAGATGTCAATGCACAGAACAAGGTTGCCACTATCCAGCAAGAGGATGAGAAGGATGCCCTCATACAGAGAATAGGGTTTTATACTTTCTCAACAGAATGTAAACAAAATTTCAATTCTATATACAAAAACACACCCTTCTGACAGGGGATAGCAGTGTCGGCACATTGTGTGGCACACGGCCAAGCAGCGAAAAACCGCGTGCGGTACCACGCTCTTCACAGACCTCGCTTCGTTTTGCCCGGTTTCAGTTCGTGGTGAATCCCGCGAGTTGTGGCGATGAAGGGATCAGTGTCTGTCGGTGGGTCGATTGCAGGGGGTTGATTGCCCCGCGTAAGCAGCACTGATTCCCCCGGTCGTAAATCGGATTGTGCCAATAGTTCCCTGGAACGTTTGCTCGTTATCGGACAACAGCTTGTTAAGCGAAACCTTGCTGTCGCCTCTGTCGCTGTGCATTGTCTGGTTGCTACTGGGTGGTTGCGATTCAAGAGACTGATCGAGGTAACATTTTATTTTGGAGTGGTTCAGTACGATGGACGTATTTTGGATCTCGCTCCATTCGATGCGTTTCAGGGATCTAGGTTTTTCGTGGCCGTGCTCTCCTCTTCACATTTTATTTATTTTCTTGCTGGAATCGTGGTTTTGTGGGTTACCCGTTGCTTGTTTGTGACTGTCGAATAGTAGGTTTCTGGGATGGCACTGGCGCGATGTTGGATTTCTGATTGACTATGGTGAATTGTGTCCGGTGGTGTCTGGGGTTCATTTTTGGTAGAATATCTCAATGGTGTCGTTGGTTCTTTTTTCAGGACTGTTTGAAATTAGTGATCGTCTTGATGGGTTATCAGCCAAAAAACACCAGCAGCGTCCTCTATCGACTCATTGGTTTTGTTTGTTGTTGGCTACAGTTGTTTCGATTGAAGTACGCGATCTTTTCATTGATATCAACTGGCCTTGTAGAGGAGGTATTCGATTGTTTTTAGCAACTATGGGGGAGAATTATCAGAAGGATCGGAATGTGTGGAGCACAGTGTTGGTGACGGCAGCCGCTCTTGCAGCAGGTTGGGCCGCCATCGAATTGGCCTTCAAGCCGTTTCTGGACGCAGGGAGGGCATCCATCAACCGTGAATTGGACCCCGATTATGATCCTGATGATGATCTCCATGGCCCCTGTGGGAATAATAGTCCCAAAGCTGAAGCTAAAGAAGCAGTACGAGACCTCAAGAACCAGTCAAGCGAGTGAAACCTCATCATACGTCCCGATTTATGGTTGAAGCTGGATTATAATCTCTGGTAATCACCTTAGCGTTTGCACGAGGACTATATGTTTTCCCAGTTTTGCTTTGGGACAAGTACTCCGCTCCTGCAAGAAACTGTGGCTGATTTATTTAGCAAATTCACTTCACTTTTCGGTTGAAAAACACATACTAAAACACTTGCCCCGTCGGTTTGCAGATGGAGGAGGTGAATTCCAAGCTATTCTTCGTCTAATTGCGACTGTTACTCCGAAATCAGATGCCATATTGTTTCATTGTGTAGGCTAAGTAGTAGGCCTGAAAGGTCAAGGGCCTATTCTTCCGAACGTCTATGGGATTATTGGTGCTATCAACGTCCATCTGTGAGAAGGATGCCGTTCCTACAGATTCGTTGGGACTGTATAGGTTTCTACTTTCAATTGCGTGGGGTGAGTTGAAAGGACAGTACTGTGAATGCAGGTGGACAGCCTCTTGAAAACCCTGTGAACTTGATCCAAGAATTCATTTCAGTCCGTCTTTATTCATAGCAGGTTCCATCACAGCTAAGCAAACAGTGCATAAGTCTGAATCTTTCATTTTCTTCGTGTGATTCTTAGTATCACCAAGCAAGGACGTTGCTTTAGTGATTTCAATGCACAAGGGCTCGGAATGTTAGAAATGACTTTATTCTAGGTTTTCTATATCATGTGTGGCTAGTAAACATAATAATCACCATATGAGTACTCTCAACAGGTAGTTTTTTGTGCAATGACATTAGGGACTCTGCTGCTTTTTAATGCATGCCACCAGCATTCTTCCTTACACTATCGTATGAAAGTACTAAGACAACAAAGGCTTTATAACCACTGCATCGAAATAGACACACCAGGACAAAAAATCACTCACTTTGATCACGACAAAAATTTAGCCAGTTTCATTTGCCTGACTAAGCTTGACTTTGGGGCTGTATTGAAGCATCTTAAAGGGCTCTTTCTTCACTTAAATATGTACATTGTAGATCAAATCTTTATTAGAATTAAATGGTTGTGGGGATTTGTACAAACTTTGCAACAATTTGGACATCTGTTGTATATTCTCCATACTTTTCAATCAATCAAGTAATTTGTTGAATATGCATCTTTGCAAATAAACTTCATATGGAAGATTGATGGCAGGCATTGAATTACTTAAAATCCATCCATACATTAGACATTTAGAGGATGATTCTAAAAAATTAATGTTTATTCAAATGAAGGATTTAGGTCCAAAATATTTTAAATGTATTTGGTAGATTAATTTGTTAGCTTCTAGTCCAAGGGAGATGAGAGCAATTTAAAGAAAAACAATCCAAATTGTCATACTTTCAATACATTGATATTATTGATTTTAATTAATATTTAATTAGTCTATTGTTAGTGTTGTTACTATTTGATTGTATTAGTGAATTTCTTGCTTTCCCAAGAGCAAAAAAATCTTTATAATATCAATATACTAAATCCCATTAATATTTAGTTTTAAGCTACTTTCAATCTTCTACCTTCCTATTGCCAATTAGCAATCCAATATCCTTAGCTATATAAGCTATATATAATCAAGATCTAAGTAGAACCTTTAATGATATTAGATTGAGAGAATTTAAAAGTGATATAAATAATCATATGATAGCTATAAAAATGAAATGATGAACACTCAAAAAGCTAATAGTGAACAAATATCTTGTCTCATCAAAAATCAAAGTCCAACTATAAAACTTAGATATTACGAATTTAGGATTTATATCTTTAAATTGTGGTGTATATTTTGTAAATAAGTAAATTACTTAATCGAATTATGTCTAAAATCTATACAATAATCACATATAAAGAAAAATTAACTCCAAACTTATAAATCTCTTTATTATTCACTACAATGAAGTTCTAGTTTTTGTTCAAATTAAATAAATAACATCACATCTTATCATATTACCAGAAAGTCTCATCAAGTATATAAATATTAAATTAAAAATGGAATTTTATGCTCCAATTAATCATCATATTATCCTATAAATTGATATAAAAGATCCAACAAAGTCATTTCTTAAAACTTTTCTTCAAAAAACTATAAAAATTAAGTTGGAGGAATTAGATTTGTAAATCCTACTGTTCCAAATGGTCTATCAAACATGTATTATAGCCATTCAAGAAGTAGCCAAAACCATCACCTTCAAATGATAATTTCAACTAATAAAAAAATAATACAAAGATCTTTAGTGTGTAATCAAAATCAAAACCAAAATCGACAACTACCACTATCTCAAGATATTAGATATATAATGGTTCAATTTGATGCACATTCTATATTAAATTTATCACCTTTTCAATCTACCTTGGTAGAACTAAATAGCAAAAAGATCTCTATGGACAATAGAGATTTACCTTCTTTAATTGTGATTAGAAGTATGATTGCAAAAAATCCAATAGATTTAGTACACCTTGAAGAAAATGAAATATTGGTAGATATTTTATAAGAATCACATTTGTGTGTAGAAGTGACAAAAATTACTCAATAAATAGCCAAAGAATTAGAAAATAAACTACCATTGACTTTAATAGAACCTGATAAAGAAGATTATTAATTTGTGAGTAAAGAATGACCTTGGATTTTTAGTGCCTTTTTAAAACAACTAATAGCTAATAACATTCAATTTTATAGAACCTTATGATTTATGACATGATTTTTATAGAAATAGAGCCAAAATTTCTTATAGTTAATTTATTCAAGTAACACTAATCATTAAAAAAACAACTCATAGAAGGAATAATATAAAAAAATAAAATAAAAAATAAAACAAAGAATACATAAGAAATAACTAAAATTAAAGTTAAAAATTTAAAATGAGCTATTACAATAGAAAATAAAAAAAAAGACATTCAAGAGTGTAGACATATTAAGATAGATGTAAAAATAATAGATAAAATAATTCTTAAAGTCATAATAGATGATGGAAGTATCATCAATATTATGCTTGAATCCATCATAAAAAAATTAAGATTTAAGATCAATTATAAAGCAATTATGAAGGTGAAATTAACTCATTAAAGATCTTTTTAATATCTAGGTCAAATCTATAACTTTTGATAGTAAGCAAGAGGTGTAGATTATGTGCTATTATTTTATGTAATACGTTTGTTTAAAGAATGTGATAGCTGCATTTTTTTTGTTAGTAAGAAGATGATAGAGGAAATTTAAATAAATAATTTATTGAAGAGCTTTTAAGCCTTGGTTTAATTTAAGACCTTTGAAAAATTATACAACAATTGTAGTATCTATATGGATTAGACTTCAAGTCTTGGCTCTATTAGAAAAAAATACCATCAAATATAGAATCCAATTCAAATATTTTATTTAATACAATTAAACTTTGATTATTTCTACAAAAAAATATATTGGTTACAAAATATATAAATATAAAAATGATGGTGATTTTATTAAATGGTTAGAAAAAATCTATTAAAAGAAGAAAATATCCAAATTCAATTTATATATATCATTGATTAGTTGAAATATGATAATGATTGCATAGTTCTTACAACTTTGATAGATGATATTTCTATTAATGAAGCTTTTAGCTTAAAAATCAATAAAATTTAAATTAAAGACTTTGATACTATTATAAAAGGAGAAGCCATCTTGCATCTTCTCTTATAATTTAAACATATACTTCAAGACATTGAAATTAGACATGATATATTTATTTATCTACCAATATCTAATGATTGATATCAAAGACCTATTGATCTAATATATATAATAGAATAAAATTGGATAAGAATTCCAATCAATTATAATGAAAAAGAATTCTAATATGTTAAGTTTGGATTTTAATTAGTTGAAAAAAAATTAAAATATAAATCCTTAATAATAAAATATTACAATATATTTGTGTGGTCTTATTAAAAGATATATATATTTTTTTAATATTTCATAATACACTATTTTACTTCTTCAAAATACTACACATATTAAAACAATCATAAAAGATTCAATTTTTGGATATAATTGATTATAAAATATAACTAAAAAAAATACTATTTCAAATAAATTTTATAAGGTCTATAGAAATTATATATTAGTTTTCTTAAATTATCTTAGTGAAAAATTGAAGATATAAGCTAAAAGTGTATATAAGTTATCAGTTTTTAAATAAATATACTCAAAAGTACTATTTTCTATTATCTTTTATTACTTCTATAATGAAAGATGTGATAAGTCATAAATTATATAATTTTTTAAATAGATATTTTATTTACAATCAAATATTAATAGCTCTTAAAGATTGATACAAGATTATATTTATGTTATTTTATATATTTTTTTAATATCCAATAATATTTTTTGACTCATGAAATATTTTTTTGAATTTTTAAAAGACTATTATTTATTATTATAGATATAAATATTAATAAGAATAATTATTTAGATTAAAATAATTAGATATAAGAAATAAAAATAAGTAGATTTGATGATTTCTTGTAGAGAAGCTTTTTAAGAGCTATACAGATACAAATTTGACTTTCCAAGTCTTTATAGGTGTCATAGATATATACATGTAAACTAATAATTACCTATATGATTTAAATAATAGTAGATAAAAGTAAGTTAATTCCATAATATCTTCTATAAAAGCTTCCTAGAAGCTATTGAAGAAACAAAATAAGCAAGACACAAGTAAGTAGAAATCAATAAGGTTAGACACAAGAGAAGTGTGGAATGAGATACCTCTCACTTCCAACACCCTTTACTAATAGGTGTCACGGCCATAATCATGTAAGCTAATAATTACATATAGAAATAGGTAAAAGTAAGTAAAAGTAGATAAAAGTAAGTTAATTCTATAATATTTAATATAGAAGCTTCCTAGAAACTTCCTAGACGCTGCTTTGACTTCATAGGTGTCTTTAATTGACTTTTTGGATTAGAAACGTGGTCAACAAGTTGGCCATGTGCCACACATGTTGTTAGCTTGAAGATCAAGCTAACTATGTGGCCCATATGTAGAAAAACTTGCCTTGTAAGTCAAGGCATGTGTCCTACAAAGTCAATACATATTGGAGGTCCTATAGAACGTCGCCACGTAGCCCCTAGTTAGATAGTATATATAGAGACAAGAGTGAAGGCTTCTTCACTCTTGTCAACTCCTTTCTTGCTTCTAGTCCAGGTTCAAGAGTCTTTAGTTTCTTGTCTTGTGGCAATAGCCATTCCAGTTTCCTTTTAATATACCTACTTGTTTATATTTTGACTTATTATATTGAGATAGCCTTTTTGTATATTTTCCCTCATCGAGTCTTTGTTCTTGACAGATTGACAAGAGTACACTTACAATATCAGAGCTTTGTTTTTCTTGAGTGAGAGTGGATTACCCCTTTCTCTTGACAAGACATAAGCGTATTAGAAGTTTGCGGATTATCCACTTCTAAACTGATATTGTTCTTAGTATCTTCTTTGTTATCAAGTCTTTCTTTTCTTTTGTCTTGAGCAGTATCAAACAAATTTTTCTTAGTGTCATTATGGCAGAGCTTGTTGAAAAGAAGAGTGCAATGGCACAAATGCAAGAGCAAATGAGGGAGTTAATGCTTCCGATGCATCAACTCAATTCACCAACACATGAAAGAACAAGAATAGCAGAAAGTGGAGATATAGAGA